GGCTGAGCTGGAATCCAAGACGCAACATAAAGTCCTCTTTAGTTTTAACTCTCCTCTCTCCGAGCAGGAGGATGGAGTCACTTTCATTGCTGCCAACTGTGCTGCCTGGAGTTGGAGGAGGGGGGGTTCAAGCACTCCCTTAGCCTCAAAGCCTGGTGTCGCCCTAGGTCATGTACCCCACAGGTCCTCTGGCTCTAAGCCCAGCCTAGTCCTAGGAGTTGCCTAGGAATTAAGTCCTTGTGTCCTAGACAGCTTTTCAAGTTTACCTAGTACCTCAAAGCCCTTTAGTCCATGGTGGCAGGGCTTGCTGAGAAACTCAAGTTCTGACCACTGGGATGCGTGGGTCCCCTCTGCCTAGGGTTGGTCCAAATGCTCCCTCTGTGCATGGGCACTGGCTGAAGCCACCATGGCTTTGCTCTCTGCTGTGACAGGGCAGCACTGAGTTCAATGTGAAGCTTCCTAGTCGCTGCAGTCCTCCTCTCCCAAGTGCACAGATCTCCCCCTGCCTTGTGGCTGCTGCTCAGGGATGAAGGAGGGGTGGCACTGGCGATTCAAGACTGTCTTTCCTAGCCTCTTCCATGCCTGTTTCTGCAACATGAAGTGAAAACCAGGGACTGTGATTGCTCACCTGAGTTTTTGTTCTGATAATGGTGCTTTCTGTGTGTAGTGAGTTGCTAAAGTTTGGTGTTCCTACAGGGGAGATGAATGGAGTGGGCTTTTATTTGGCCACCTTGCTCTTTCCCTTTTGATTTCAAGGTCATTAAAGGCCTCTCTTAGACTTATACGGACATAGGTTTTCATCATGCATCTTTTTTTTTTTTTTTTTTTTTTGGAAACAGAGTCTTGCTCTGTCCTTCAGGATGGAGTACAGTGGCACAATCTCAGCTCACTGCAACCTCTGTGTCCCTGGTTGTGCCTCAGCCTCCCCAATAGCTGGGATTATAGGTGTGTACCAGCACAGCTGGCTAATTGTTGTATTTTTAATAGAGATAAGGTTTCGCCATGTTGGCCAAACTGGTCTCGATGTTCTGGCCTCAAATGATCTGCCTGTCTCGGCCTCCCACAGTGCTGGGAATACAGGTGTGCACCATCACGCCCGGCTTCCTGCAGTGCTGAGATTACAGGTGTGCGCCACCGTGCCTGGCCTCATCATGCATCATTCTTATGTGTGCATCAAATAAAAAATATAAGTGCAATAAATGAGATAAGGTACTTCGTAGGACATCTTTCTGAGAGCATTGGTGATGCAGAATTTGTGGTTCCTCTGTTGTTTCCGGAAGTTGGGTGCTGACACCCAACCTACATGTTTTGATATTCATATGTACAGGCAATGATGCCTCCGTTGTGTCTGGGCCTGGAGGACAGTGGCCATAAGACAAGCCCTAACTGCAGGAATGTCAAAAGGTGAAAAAAAAAATGGTGCCTCAGATTTGATTAAAGAAAAGGTGGTTAATGCCTGGGAATATTACTTGATAGAATGAGTGCATGAGTCAGTGCATAAACAAGCGATGAGTGAGCGGAAAAGTTAATTACACTGAGCCTAAGGGAAAGTGCCCCGGGAGAACTTGCTGATGGATAAATGATACAAAGCAGTCGAGCTTCATTATTTTGGGCTTAAACCAGAAGTTCTCACCGGGTAACTGTACCCCAGGGGACTTTGGCAAAATCACATTTTTGGTGGTCCCAGCTTGGGGGAGGGTGCTTCTGGCATTTAGTGGGTAGAGCCCGGTGTGCTGCTCAATATCCTACACTGCACAGGGCAGCCCCCACCACAGAGAATGATCCTGAACAAAACACCAATAGTGACAAGGTTGAGAACCTCTGCCTTGAGCCAAACGGACAGCAGTTCCCCTTGAAATGCACATGTTCCCAAATGTGTTCAGATACTATGACCAACTAGCACATCACCACCTCCAGGATGTCTTCCCTGATTGCTCCCTTCCCTGCCTCCTGCCTAGGCTTAGCATCCCTCACTGGGCTCCCTCGGCACCTCCGGCCCCTGCTCCCATCTGTCCCTTCCCTACCCTGGATCATAACTCTCTTATTTCTCTGACTCCCTCAAGGACTGTGGGCTCCTTGAGAGCAGAAAGCAGGTCTTACTTTTCACCACTTGGCAGTATACGACCACCTTCCTGCCTTGGTATTTGCATCTTGACAGTTCAGTCCCATTCATATGATCTTGATTAAGTTCACAGTAATAATTATAATGAGGTTGGAGTTCTCATTGACACTTTAGAAATGTGGAGCCTGAGGCTAGGGCATGTTCAGTAACCTGTGAGGGCCGCCCAGCTGGTGGTGGAGACTCAACACAAAGTAGGACCAGCCTGTCTAGACTTGGGCATCAGCAGCTCTGGGCTCAAAGCCCAGGTCTGTCATTTGCTTTCTTTTTGATTCTAGGCAACTTGCTTAACTTCCCTGAGGCTGAATTTCCACAGCTGGAAAATGCGGATGTTCATACTCTTTTCATGAGGTTTCGTGAGTATTAAGAGAACTAGTGTGTATTGTGCCAGGTTAATGATAATAATTATAACCACGCCTGTGTACTGAGCACTTACTATACAGCATCTCACACAATAGCTACAGGAACTCTCAAAGGCAGTGGCTTTTATTACACCCCGTTCAGAGAAGAGGAGACTGAGGCTCCGAGAGGGCAAGTGCCTTGCCCGGGATTGGAACTCAGGCTGAACAGGTTCCAGTGTCTCCATCCCATCTAGTGAGCAGCCCTCCAGGGTGGAGGGATGAGCTCAGCTCTGTCCCTTCAATCCAGAGTCCTCTGCAGGATGGCACACCGTCTACACCTTCTATACCTCTGCAGGATGGCACACCGTCTACACCTTCTACACCTCTGCAGGATGGCACACCGTCTACACCTTCTACACCTCTGCAGGATGGCACACCGTCTACACCTTCTACACCTCTGCAGGATGGCACACCATCTACACCTTCTACACCTCTGCAGGATAGCACACCGTCTACACCTTCTACACCTCTGCAGGATGGCACACCGTCTACACCTTCTACACCTCTGCAGGATGGCACACTGTCTACACCTTCTACACCTCAGTGGCGGGAGGGAGCCAGCTTCGACAGGCCAGGCTAGCAGAAGAGCAGGGTGTCTGGAGCCTGAGTGTAGGGTGGGACTGCCTGCTTGGAATCCTGGCTTTGGCTCTTACTGACTTCACAGCTTTGGGTGGGTCCTTTCAGATCTCCGAGATCCACGGTTTCCTCATCTGAGAGATGTACAGACATTGCCGGGCCCCCTGGAGTCTCTGCTGGTTGTAATTATTCGCTTCCACCGTATGTGGCTAGCTGGGGGTGGACAGTCCCTTAGGGCCTCTGTCCTCAGCTCTGGTGAGCCCTGGGGACTTCGGCCAACCCCAGGCCAGTGAGAGCAAGACATCTAGCACAGGTGGGGCACCCATGATTTAATGGGTGACCCTGGCTGTGACCCCCGGCTTACCTAACCACAGAGCTCATGTGCCAAAATTTCATGAAGCAACTCATGCCTGGAATCCACATAAACCTCACCCTCCAAAATGGAGATCGCATTTGTCTCCTTGTATTGTATTTGTTGAACTTACTGCTCTTGGAGGATGTCATCTTGCTTTTCCATCCAAGGAAAAGTCAAAACCTCTCCTGGCAGTGACAAATGCCCCCTTTATACGCTTGTACACGAGTCACTTGAACACGCACATACCAAAAACAAAAAGAAAATAATTCCTGAATAATGTGAATGCCCTGACGCTCAGAAAGGACAAAGACACAAAGGCTATTAGTCACCCATCTGCACCTGAAACTGGATTTGGAGTGTTTCGAAGAGAACGTGGTTTTATTGGGGAGAGAGTGTGAGTGGGGGTGCACAGGCTGTGAGTAGGGGTGCTCGGGCTGTGAGTGGGGGGTGCACGGGCTGTGAAGTGGGGTGCTCAGCTGTGAGTGGGGGGGTGCACGGGGGTCTGTGAAGTGGGGGTTACTCGGGCCTGATGGAGTGGGGGTGCAGGGCGTGAAAGTGGGGGTGCTCGGCGCTGGTGAAGTGGGGGTGCACGGGCCTGTGAGTGGGGGGTGCTCGGGCTGTGAGTGGGGGTGCACGGGCTGTGAGTGGGGGTGCTCGGGCTGTGAGTGGGGGCACATGGGCAGGGCTTTTCAAATGCAGACACTTGGGTGTTGTCTCCACACCAGTGCATTTTGGAATGAAAAAGGTTGAATCCTGTCAAATAATTGATCAGTACCAATTTCCATGGGGTTGTTTTGAACAGAGCGGGTTGTTGGTTGAATTTAATCATTTCTCACACGAGCCTGTGTATATGTGTGTGTGTACATTCTGTGCAGACACCATTGGAATCTGGATTGTGTAACAGATTCCCCAGGGGCTCTGCCCATGTCCCCGTGGGTGCCTTTGTACCTCTCCCTCCCTGGCAGCAGGTGGGCTGCCTCCTCCCTTCGGGGAGCCTCGCCACTCACCGATGGGTGCTGGAAGCGTTACGCATACTCGGGTTCCGCTGCCCAGCCTCAGTGGGGCCAACTCCACCGTGTGGCTCAGGGCCACTGACATCATTTGCAAAATGAACAAGCAGGCCCCTTGTTCAACAATGACTAAGAGTTTTTAAATGGTGACAGCAGATCACTAAACCAAGCATAGGGTCCTTCTGGATGACAGCACAGGCTGCACAGCCCTGGAGCCAGCCCTGGTGGGACTCAGGCTTCCTCCACAACCCGCACAGGGATTGCAGCAAAGGTGCCCTCCATGGGCCCTCGTCACCTCCCCCCGTCTGACTGTCTCCTCCTGTTCCACTTCCCCACTCTCGTGCCGGTTTTTCCCAGGAACCTCCCTAATGAATCACTTTCAACAAATCCCCCTCCCAGGGTCTGCTTCAGGGGCTCTATGTTAACACAGGGTTCCAGGAGCAGACCCCAGCTGACACGTCATCCCAGCGATACCCACGCTGCTTCCTGCCCCTGAATTAAACAGTGACAAAGTATCACAAAACACCAGAGACTCAGCATCTTATTTGGTTGTTTTTATTGTTCTGTGGCCTCCTCCCATCTGCTAACATTTAGGCCTCAGCACATCAGGTGGCTAGAACTAAGAATCACACATTAGTAGGCAAGTTCATTTCCATTTCCTGATGGATGAATTTATTCTGGGAACATTTGAGATGGCTACATACCTCCCAGAGCCAGACTTGGGAGAAATCTGTCAAAAATATCAAGATGCTGAGCCTTGTCTTAGAAAGGGGCTTCAGAAATGCTTGCATGGGCAGCGGCTTCTTCCCGGGGTAAAGGTCTTGTGGAGTTGCAGAGCCTTGCTCCCAGGATGGTAAAACAGGGACCCAGAGCGGGTAAGCGGCTCCCACAAAGTTGCCCAACCAGGCTGGGCCAAACCGGGATTGATGGCTAGGTGTCCCATCTCCAAGCATCTTGGGGTCTTGCTCTGCTGAGCTGAATGTGAACTTTGAGGGTCAAACTATTTTTCCCATCTGTTTCCAAGGCTTAGCAGAAAGTGGAGGAATGTTCTTGCAACCCAGCTGGAAAGGAAGCAAAGAAGGATCAGGGTGAACCGCTGCAGGGCAGACCACAGAGTCACAAATCTTTCATCTCCCTGCCACCACCGCCGCCACCAGACACACCCGGAAGATGCCCCTTTCTGAGAAGACCCAATTCTGAACTCACTGTGACATCTTCACGGCATCTTTAGTTCCTAACTCCTCCCTTACCATCAGTCCCATTTTATAGATGAGGAAGCTGAGGCTTGGAGAGCTGGAATTGTTTCCTGAAGGTCACACAGTGGTGGAGTAAGAATTGAAACCCAGACCTAGCTTGCTCCAAAGGCTGTACTTTTTTTTTTTCTTGAGACAGAGTCTCAGTCTGTCACCCAGGCTGGAGTGCAATGGTGCAGACATGGCTCACTGCAGCCTTAATCTCCCTGGGCTCAGGTGATCCTCCCACCACAGCCTCCCAAGTAGCTGGGACCACAGGTGTGCGCCACCATGCCTGGGTAATTTTGTATTTTTTGTAGAGAGAGGGTTTTGCCATGTTGGCCAGACCAGGCTGGACTTGAACTCCTGGGATCATACCGTATGCCTGCCTCGGCCTCCCAAAATGTTGGGATTACAGGCAGGAGCGGCTGCGCCCAGCCAAAAGCCTCAACTTCTAAACCATCCTAAACTGCCTCTCAAGGTCTCTTCCTCATCCACTGGCCTCCTCCCTCCCTGTTAGAAGCTCAGTCCTCAGTTGCATCTGACCTACTCCAGGGACGGCTCCTGTCAGTAGCAGGTAATAGACAAGCTGGCATCGGTCCCTACGGGCTCCAGATTTTCCGGGAGGACTCTGGAATCTGAAATCTGACATTTGCTTTTCAATGACGTCCTGGGAGGCTGTCACCTGCTTTTAGGGGCTCCTTTTTGCCCTCTGTGGCTATCCAGCATTCACAGGGGTGGGTTTAGGGGCTGGATTTTCAGGTTTAGGGCTGCAACTCCAAGGCCCTTTGCATGCACCTGCACCTCACCTTTGAGGGCACCTGAGAGCAAGGCTGTGCCTCCCCTGCGCCTCCTCTGCAGCCAGCCTCCCTGCCACCTTCCTGTCTCTACCCCGGGGGCCTTCTTTTGACTCCCCGAAGCCAGCGTCCCTCCCGCCTCGGTACTTTCACTCTTCCAACTCCCTCCTCAGGCAGCACCTTCTCACCTGGGATCTTGGCTCAGACTTCAACCCCCACAGGGCCTTCCCTGCCCCCAAATGAAGCGGCTCCTGCCCCAGGCTCTGCCCCTGCCCAGGGACTCTGCCCCACATTGCCTGTTCACTTCCTCACCACACCTGCCTTTCTACTGATTGATCTGTTGGCTTGTGTAGCCTTCCCCTACCAGGATGTGGCCTCCCTGAGAGCAGGGGCTCTGTGCGATTTGTTCACCATTCCATCCTGGCATGACTACCGCTGAGCAACCAAGAGGCTGGAACCATGACCATCAGATAGTTGGCACCCAACAGAATTGTTTGACAGAAGTGAGAAGAGATGGACAAGGCTTCCCGGAGACATCAAGGCAAAGGAATGGAAAGGAAAGTTGCGACCTAGTTTGGTCTTGGGTTTTGATTCAGAGGGATACAGAATTGCTCCCGCTTCTGATCACACACAAAGTTCTTCTACGTTCCTGCCTTGAAATTGCAGTAGGTCCTCATTCAACATCATGGAGAGCTTATTGGAAACTGCAACTTCAAGCAAAATGACTTACCATATAACAAAACCAATTTTACCATAGGCTAATGGAGATAAACAAGACTTAAGGCCAGGCACAGTGACTCATGCCTGCAATCCTAGCACCTTGGGAGGCCAAAGTGGGAGGACTGCTTCAGGCCAGGAGTTCAAGACCAGCCTGAGTAACAGTGAGAACTCATCTCTACAAAAAAAAAAAAAAAAAAAAAAAAATCGCCAGGCGCGGTGGTGTATGTCTGTAGTCCCAGCTCCTGGGACTGAGGCTGAGGCAGGAGGATGGCTTGAGCCCAGGAGTCTGAGGCTGCAGTGAACAATAATTGTGCCAGTGCACTCTAGCCTGGGTGACAGAGTGAGACCCCATCTCTTAAAAAACAAACGAATTAAGCTTCTACAGCATACAGTGCATATAGTAGGTCGTTGCCTTTAAAGTCAGTTTCCAGGGACCTATTGATGATGCTAGGTGAGGACTTACTGCAGAAGGGAATTTCAAATTGTACCAGTAGGGAAAGCGCTACTCTCACCCTCCTGCTGCTCAACCTGGTGGTGAAAGCTGCCAGGACACCTGGTTGCCCACATTGACCCTGGCCACCAATCTTGGTCTCCTCCCACTCACCTGCCTGCCGTTGCTTTATTGAAAGTGCCTCTGTTGTCCCCTTCCAGGTTCTGCCACATTCTTTGAGTCACCTTCTGTGAAAAGAGCATAGCTCTGTTGGGGCAGATGTATCTATTCCTGCTCTAATGCCCCGCATGGCTCACCAGTGACTGCCAAATGAAGCCTGGTGATCTGGCCCTCTCCTCCCTCCCCCAGCTGAGGTCACTCAGTCCTCACCTGTGGTGCCTCCTCTCCCTCCCCAGGCCCCCCAGCTGGTGTCGCCAGCTCTGTCTATGTTTCTGGCCTCACCTCCCACCACCTCCACGGCTCACCACACACTCCAGCTTTGGGGATGGCCAAATTGCTTCCAACCTCAAGAGCTTCGCACACGCCATTCTGGGATATTTTTATTCTTTAGGCTGAGCTTTCATGTCCTCCTTGGGAAGCCTTTCTTAAACCTGGTCTAAGGTGTCCTCATGGCATCCAGCATGTGATGTCAGGAAGGCTTGTCACTATTAGATTGTAGGGAATGAATGGATGAAAGAGCAGGTAGACAGATAAAAGAATAGATGGATATGTGAATGGATGAGTGAGTGGATAGATGGATGGATGGATGGTGGTAGACGGGTGGGTAGATGGCTGGAGGGATGACTGGATGGAGGAAAGAATAGATGGAGAGATGGATGGTATGGATGGATGGATGATGGATGCATGATTATATGGATGAATGGAAGAGTGTGTATCAGCCATGCTTTCCAGTTCTCTGAATGAAAGTAGGCAGAGGCTTAAATATGAGCAGTCCCAGGCTCTGCTCTTCAGCATGAGGTCATGTTTCACCAGTCCCTCTATGAGACACACCTCCCTGCCCACCTTCAGACCCACAGGTCTATTTTAATTTTTAAACCCAGGTCCCACTTTGTTCCTATATCTCAGGCCCTGGGCTTTTATTTTTTTTTCTTCACATAAGAAACATTCACGGCCTTTTTTTTTTTTTTTTGTTGCCCTCTGCAAGAAAGAATAGTTTCTTCTTTACCTGGATATTCTTTGTAAAGTTTGTGTTCGTAGATTCGACATCTGGAAAACAAGTGAGAGGAAGAAACTTCTTTTAGGAGTTTAGAAGGCCAAAACTGTTTTCACAATAATACTGGAGGAATTACTTGTGTTTTCTACTCTCACCATCTCACTGCGTGTACAATAGAATCAGAGGCTACATGAGGCATTTTTAATGTCTCAGCATCTAGTTTCTAATATGATAATTATCCGAGCCATCAACCATAAAGAAAGGCCCTGTGAGATCTCCTTAACATCTTTGAGGTAAAGCAGTCTTGAGAGTAAAAATTTTCAGAACCACTGTCTTTGTTGTTTTTTTTTTTCTTTTAGACGAAGTCTCATCTCTGTTGCCTAGGCTGGAGTGCAGTGGCATGATCTCAGCTCACTGCAACCTCTGCCTCCCGAGTTTCAAGCAATTCTCTCTGTTCAGCCTCCCGAGTAGCTGGGATTACAGGCCTGTGCCACCATGCCAGCCAATTTTGTATTTTTTAGTAGAGATGGGGTTTTGCCATGTTGGCCAGGCTAGTCTTGAACTGCTGACCTCAGGTGATCCACCCGCCTCAGCCTCCCAAAGTGCTGGGATATAGGCGTGAGCCGCCGCGCCCGGCCAAAAAGAACTGTATTTTTTTTATTTTTATTTTTATTTTATTTTTTTGAGACGGAGTCTCGCCTCTGTTGGCCTGGCTGGATGTCAGTGGCCAGATCTTCAGCTCCATGCAAGCTCCGCCTCCCGGGTTTATCGCATTCTCTCTGCCTCAAGCCTCCTGTGTAAGCTGGGACCTCAGGAGCCCCGCTATTTGCACCTCACCCGGCTAGTTTTTTGTATTTTTTAGTAGAGTCGGGGTTTCACCGTGTTAGCCAGGATAGTCTTGATCTCCTGACCTCGTGATCCGCCCGTCTCGGCCTCCCAAAGTGCTGGGATTACAGGCTTGAGCCACTGCGCCCAGCCCAAAACCACTGTCTTAACAGATGAACTGGAAGCCAAATTTCAACACACTGTTTAGTAAATGTCATTACAAAATACGTTCACAGGGGAAGAGATGGCATTCTTTTGAGTCTGATGTCATTACTGCAAATGACAAAGTAACTTGAGTATGAATCCTCACTCATCCTCTGAGCCTCAGTTTCCTCACCTAAAAATAGGCATAAAATTAGTACCTCTTAAAGTTACTGTGAGAATTAAAAGAAACAATTTCATTTAAAACATAACTATGCAGTATTAGGAGGAGTCATATGAAAATGCTATCATTGTGTGTAAAAAGTGGTCAACCGCTGACAATTTCATACATGTCCCATGACTAGCCGTGAGTCCCCACTTCATAACTCCCGCTGCTGTATATCACCGGCCTCCACCTCTTCCTCAGCCCCCACCCCATGGTAGCAGGAAAGCATTTGCCGACAGGAATGTCACCAGGACAGGTGGATGTTTGAATGTGGCATCTCTCCCAAATTGAGCTCACTTCTCCATCCTGGTGATCAGCGCTGCCTTCTCTGCTATAAGGTCAATCAAGCACATGTGTGCGGTAGCCAGACATTTTCTTTTTCTTTTAGTTTTAGTTTTTTTCTTTTAGTTTTGTGGCCATACTAAAAATCACCAGGGTGTTTGGGACCAGCACGGACATTGATTGGTCAAGGTGCTAACGCTCCATGGAACCGCTCGGTGGGTCAGTACCTGCTGATCAAAAACTGCAGCAATAACTATTTTCCAAAGCAAATGGCTAGGGTTTTTGCAGGCTGGGGGAGCTCCCGGAAACTTTCCTGCTCCCCCTTTACCTGGGGATGAATTCTGGCCCATAACACCACAAGGAGACAGAGGTAAATGGGGACCCTGGACCCCCTCCTCAGGCCAAATATAATCACTTATAATTTGTTACCAAAAGTGATTACTCATCACTTTTCTCAAATTTCCTCCCACTCAGGGCTAGACGAGCCCCACTTCGTTCTTCTGAAGCAGTGTCTTGGGCAGGACAAGGAGGCGCCAGCCCCCACAGCTCAGCTTCTGTGTGACGTCAAACCTACGCAGAAAAACACACCGATTTTCCCTGACCCCACTCTCTGAAAAAACAGATTTACTATACATGTCAGTGTTCATTTTCCTCTTGCATAAAACATGCACCCCTCAAATGCCTGGTTCCAGCTGCCGGATGGTCAAACTTGAAGGACTATGGGTACCCACTAGAAGCTCTCTTAGGGGAGGATGGCATCTTAGGTGTGGGCACAGGATCTGTCGCTTACTTTCAGATGGTCCAGAAAAATACACACGTAGATTTATAAGTGGGGAGAGAGCATAAAAGAAAATGTAACAGTAGTTTTTTAACAACTGGTGAATCTGGGTGGCGGGTTCAAGGTACTACTTTTGCAACATTTTTGTAAGTCTGAAATTATTTCAAATATGCGGTTTTTAAAACCTTAAATAAAAAGCTTCTTCCTTGGTAAGGCTGGGACAAGGGGGCCACTCTTCTGCTGAGATTTTTGCTCCAAGGGAAGTTGCTGGAATTCAAAATGTTTTCAAACGTATATATAATTACCAATAAATTACCAGTAATTATTGCTAAGTGTCAGCCCCCTGAGAACAAGGCTAGGGGGAATTCCACTTACATTTCCATTTGGAAGGCTCAAATCATTCCTTTGCGAGGGGAAGCTCACACACATACACACACACACACACACACACACACACACACAGGCTCTGAGGCTGGTAGACAGGCTTGGAATTCCAGCTCTGCATCTTTTGGGTAAATTCCTGAACTAATATCCTCCCTTTCCTAAGACAGGGATGATGGTGGCACACATTCACTGAGGACCTACTGTGGGCCAGGTGCTATTCTAACACTTCATAGGTATTTTCTCTCACTCAAGCCCCACAACTACCCCATGAAGTTGTGACCATGGTTACCATCACCATCTCTATTTTACAGATGAAGGAACTGAGGCCAAGAAAGGTTGGGTGAGCCGCCCAAGGCCATGGAGGAAGAAAGTTACAGGCTTTGGACTTCTTTCTGTGGTTCTCAGCCCGCACTCTGAAACCTATGCAGCACTGCCTCCTGGTTCTACTTCTCCTTTTGCAGGCTTGCAGCAAAGTTTAATGTAAAGAGAGCACTCCAAAGGTGCGTGTTAACAGCAGGCATCATTGGTGTGGTCATCATTGAATGACTGGCTCTTTTTGCTTAGTTAGCTCTGTCTTGAAATGGGAATTTTTTGAATTGGTTTGAACCCTTAAGAACTAGTTTGACTTGGTTTGACCTTGGTCTTAGACATCACAGGGCTGAATGAAAAGATCAGGGGATGAAAAAGACAAGTGCCCAAGGCATTCCTATTATGCTGTCAGTATTAAAATGGTGGCATAGTCCAACAAACTCGTAAATCACCCCACAGCTCTCTTTTGGAAAAGGTTATCCCTTCCACACTCCAGCAGCCTCAGACAGGCTGGCAGGCCCTTGCGTTTCACATCCAAAGGACCACACACCCCACCCACCCATGGCGGGATCGAGTGGATAGAGACAAGCAGTGAGGAAACAGTGAAGGTTGTGTTCTGTGCTTGTGAAGTGATGGACACTCTACACGGATTAACTCACTCCTCAAAGAGCCCCGTGAAGTACCGCAAGTATTATGAACCCATTTTACAGATAAGGCAAATGAGGCCTGAAAAGGTTATGTTATTTGCTGCCCACAGCAGTAAGGGGCTGAGTAGCTGTGGGAGCCCAGGCTATCTGGCTGGAGAAGCCACCCTATAACCCCAAACAAAGCCCTGCAAATAGCAAGTGGGACGCAGAAGAAACCAAAAAGGCATCTCTTTATTTCAAAGCCTTTGGTAGATAATTTCTTCAAAGTTCAGGATTCCAAGATTCTCATCACTTTATCTGCAATGATAATGACATTAAATGCACGACTGATTTTATGTCTACGCCTTTCTTGAAACACTTCAGAGAAATACATTCTCAAATCAGAAAAAAAAAGAGGTTTTGGCAGATCATGCACCCCCCAGTATGCTTTTGGCAAACAGAGTCACTGTAATTACCACCAATCTTGTCTGAGGGTCCTGTCCTTAGCTGTTAGGGATATGAGATGCAGAAGTGGAGACAGGGGCCCCTGGGTGTGGTCTCAGTCTGATTGACCTTGACTTTGACAAGGTGAACCCGGCCACCCTGAAGTCCCAGATTCCTGGCTCGCCACACAGTTCATCCAAACTCCATGCCAAAAAGCACATTGGAGTCTTTCAAGTTGATTGCCTTGCGTGGGGTTCGAGATGGTTTTAGCTACCACCAGGAATCGCTCTGCCATTGTTTTTTCTTTTCTTAGGAAAATTATGCCAATGAAAGCAACACCATTCAGTCATTTATTTATTGCCTTTGTGTCAAAGACAAACACAAATTAAGTCAAACTGAACAGTCCTGGCAGCAGTTCTGGGAAGTTAAGGATTCTCAGACAGTTCTAATTCTATGCAGTCTGAAAACAGATACAGATGCTCCTTTAAAACAGACACAGATGCTTCTTGACTTACAATGGAGTTATGTACTGATAAGCCCCCTGTAAGCTGAAAATATCTTAAGTCAAACTGCATTGAACACAGTTAACTTACCGAACAGCATAGCTTAGCCGAGCCTACCTTAAATGTGCTCAGAACACTTACATCAGCCTAGAGTTGGGCAAAGTCATCTAACACAAAGCCCATTTTATAATGAAATATGGAATGTCTCGTGTAATTGATTGATTACCATACTGAAAGTGAAAAACAGAATGGTTCGATGGGAACTTGAAGTACAGTTTCTACTGAATGCATGTCGCTTCTGCACCAGCGTAAAGTCTAACAATCGTAAGTTGACCATCGTAAGTCGGGGCCCATCTACACATACGTGGATATAAAATAGCCAGTATTTACTGACCACCTACTATTCCTTAGGGCTGCTCCCACAGCTCTGCACTTATGATTTCAGTTACGCCCCCCAACAGCATGAAGTAGCCCCATTTTACAGATGAGAAAACTGAGGCTCAGCGATAGGAAGAAATTAACCCCAGTGTCGCCCAGCTGGGAGGTACAGAGCTGGGGTTTGCAGCCAGTCTGCTGGTTCAAGAGCTTCTGTCACATGCTAGTGTGGCAGGGAAAGGGTAGGGGCCATGAAAGAAGGAGCCAGGCAGGGGGAAGATGTAAGAAACTCTCGGTCAGGCTCAGGAGCCTGGGCTGCTTCCTGGGGCAGGTCGTCCGTGGGGGTGAGAAGGGGACGGGGCAGGGGCCAGGGTCAGGGGCCAGGGTCAGGGCAAGGGTGCCACACTCACCTGCTTGTCGGCGCTGCTTGACGCACTGCCCACGGTTGGGGATGCCTTCGGCCACGTCACCTGGGCTCAGGATGTGGCACTCATAGCCCGAGGGACAGAGCAGCGGTTCGGCCCCATCCTCCGTGGTGCTGCATGCCTCTGCTGTGGGAGGGACACACACTGGGGTCTAGAGGGCAGACCCCCGGGATGGGTGCAGGGAACGCAGCTCATCCAGAGAGACGGCCTCGCCTCTGTACCCCAGGTTCCAGGCTAGGCCCTGGGTCTCACTCAGCGGCATGTGGCACACGTGCACACCCACAAACACGCACACAAACACAGGCAGTCCAAGTTCACCCGATCCCAAACATACTCTCACAGGCTCAGCAGCATCCATGTAGACGTGTTCACCCACACACCCTGAAACACACACCCACCCCTACAGCTGCACGGGGACACACACATTTACACAAGCACGTCGGACACACAAATACACACAGACATATACACATGTTCATCCCCACACACAAATCCTGTACACACATATCCACACCCACGTATACACACGTTCACCCGCACATGTACACACTCACAATACAGTCACACACTTTTGCAAGCACACACACACACACACACACACACACACACAAATATTCAGCCACAGCCACAAGGACAGCCACACAGTTGCACACACAGCTGCACACTCTGTGTCTAGCTGGACACAGTCACACAACACACAGATGGGTGTGGAGTCAGAAGCACAGCCACAGGTGTGCAAGGGTGCCCACTCTCACCTCCTAGGCCTCCAGGCCCCCGGCCTGTATGCTCTTCCTTCCAGAAACTGCCCTCTGCCTCCCGGTACCTCCCCCACCCCCAGGGAGGCCTCATCATTAGACAGCCATGAACCCCTTATAATTCTAGGAATTTGAAAACCAACCCTAAATGCCCTCCCCTTCAACTCGCCATCCAGGAGGAGGCCTCATTCTTGGGGAGAGTCGAAGCCCTTATTCCGTCCTGGGCTTTGATTCTGGCCGAGCCCCCAGCCATCAGCCCTTCTGCACTGGGGTGGGGAGGATCAAAGACGGCTGAGTGTTTGGCTGAAGGGCCCGTGCATGGGGGACAGCCAGCCTGGTGCTGCCAGCTTTCTGGAAGCAGCTGAGAAGGAGGGATCGAGGCTCGGACGTAGGGTCTGGGCTTTACCCGGCAGGTACCTTGCAACACCTCCTCAGGGCCATCCAGGAGCCAGCCATTGCCACCAAGCCATCGAGGTTTCGGCTGCACCAGCCAGTCTAAGACTAACACAATACAGGGTCAGATCAAGGCCCTCCTCAGGCAGCTGAGAAATGCCCAGGCTTGAGGGTGGGGGTGCCCCCATTTCATGACAGCACAGAGTCTCCCTGTGGGAGAAATAACTATGGTTCCTGGCACACCTTCATCCCTTGCTTTCAGTGATAGAACCTTTCACTGTGGGCAGGGCACTGGGCCTCCAAGCTGGGGACTAGCCTTCCCTGCCTCCCTTGCAGCTATGTGTGGCCACGTGACAGGGTTCTGGCCACAAGGATGTGAGCAGCAGTGACCATGCAACTTCCTGTCTTGCCCTCTGATTGGGGGCTCCCTGCTCCCCTCCCTCCCTCTTTTCCTTCCTGCAGGCTGGGAGCCATTCTGACCATGTGGACAAGGACATCACTCGGACTGCAGAGTGGCAAGAAGGAAGGAAGCCAGGTCCTTAGATGGCTTTGCGAGCAAAGCTACCCGCCTGCTGCAGTGTCGATCTCCACACTAACAGCTGAGAGAAGCAAACGCCTCACAGGCTGGGTCTCTGTATTTATGGGTCTTTTTGTTGCAGCAGCATAGCCTATTCTCTAACTAATACTTTATTTTTTTAACTTTAAGGTTCGGGGTACACGTGCAGGTTTGTTGCACAGGTAAATTTCACGTCGCTGAAGTTTGGTGTATGGGTGAAGTTTGGTGCACAGGTGATCCTGTTACCTAGGTATAACCAATACATTTTTAACAGAAAGAGCCACCCACACAGTTTATGGGAAGGCCTTCAAAAGGCAGGGGTCGAAAAGTCAAATGCCTCTAGGGGACAGGTACATGACATTCAACAGGAAAGCAGATCAGGTAGCCTCACGGCAAAGCAGAGAGTGCCTCCTGCCTGGATGAATCAGCTGTTGGTTAGCCCTGACCAGTCATTTCCAATGCTCCCAGACTGTTTTCTTTTTCTTTTATTTTCTTACTGTAAGTTCTTATTCTATTTATTTATTTACTTATTGTTTATTTATTTATTTTGAGACAGAGTCTCGCTCTGTCACCCAGGCTGGAGGGTAGTGGCACGATCTCAGCTCATTGCAACCTCCGCCTCCCGGGTTCAAGCAGTTCTCCTGTCTCAGTCTCCCGAGTAGCTGGGATTACAAGCATATGCCACCACGCCTGGCTAATTTTTGTATTTTTAGCAGAGATGGGGTTTTGCCATGTTTCCCAGGCTGGTCTCAAACTCCTGGCCGCAAGTGTTCCACCCCCTTTGGCCTCCCAAAGTGCTGGGATAACAGGAGTGAGCCACTGCACCCAGACTGTAAGTCTGTTTTTTTTTTTTTTTTTTTTTTTGAGACAAAGTTTCCCTGTTGTCACCCAGACTGGAGTGCAATCCTGCAATCTTGGCTCATTGCAACCTCTGCCTCCCAGGTTCAAGCGATTCTCCTGTCTCAGTCTCCCAAGTAGCTGGGATTACAGGCGTGCACCACTATGCCCAGCTAATTTTTGTATTTTTAGTAGAGATGGGGTTTTGCCATGCTGGCCAGGGTGGTCTAAAACTCCTGACCTCAGGTGATCCACCCACCTCAGCCTCCCAAAGTGGTAGGATTACAGGCGTGAGCCACCACGCCCGGCCAAGTCTGTATTTTTTAAAATAGAAATCTTCTGGTTTTTAAGTGTTGACAAGTAATTTTAAAACTTTTTTTATTAAAGATTATTATTATTATTATTATTCTGTAGAGATAGGGCGTCTCCCTATGTTGCCCAGGCTGGTCCCAAACTCCTGGCCTCGCATGATCCTCCTGCTTTGGCTTCCCAAAGTGCTGGGATTACAGGTGTGAGCCACCGTGCCTGGGCAGAAAACTTTAAGCATGTTGGAGATCAAAACAGCTCTGAGATCACATTTGCTTGTGACCTCTGCATTCGTTTGACTCCAAAATAAGACAAAAATAAAATTACTAATATTTATCTTGATAAAGAGAAGAGAAAAATGATTATCTAGCATCTTTGAAAGTACATTGATGGGTTCTGGTAAAAATGCTGGTTAGCTTTTTCTGCAAAGGAGCACTCGCCGATTATAATGACAGTGGAAGCTGGAAGAGCGGAGAAAGGCGCCAGCAGTCTGTGACCTCCGAAACACGAATGACATGATGGTTCTGCAGCCTCTATGCCCAACCTTTCGGTTCTTCCCCCCTTTCCCCCACCACATTGGACCATGTGTTAGGAAACATTTTCAGGTAAGAAACGCAGTAATATGTGCTGTTTATATTCTCTTTCACCTTGATCAAAGGCTTCTGAGCAGCAGGGAAATAAGCAAATGTTTATAGCGAAACTTGGTCTGGGCTCCCCATTGCTCTAGTTGAAGACCCTTAAAGGCCTGGTGGCCCCGGGGTCTCAGCTCTTCATGCCCTCACTGGAACTACCTGTGATCGCCTCCCAAATAAATGACCTGGGCCCAAGTCCTTGTCTCTGGGTCTGCTTTGGACAGACCCAAATCCAGATGGCAATGAAGTAGTAAGGTGCCTGGAATAGGGCCTGATGTGTTCCACGTCATCTTATGTTAGACCAGTGGTTCTCAATGCAGAGCAATTTTGTTCCCCAGGAGGCATTTAGGAAAGATTAGAGACAGTTTTGCTTGTCTGGCATTTAGCAGGGAGGGGCCAGGGAAGCCACTGACCATCCTACAGTGTACAGGACAGTGCCCCCCTCCTCTGCCCAGCAAGTAGAATCATCCAACCCCAAATGTCAATATGCCAAGATTGTGAAATCTGGCATTAGATAGCGTTGTTGTTATTACTAACTAGTGGTATGATTGCTTTTCCTGCTGGCCAGTGAATGAATGAATGAGTCAATATTTATTGAGTACTATGTGCCCGGAGACCATTTTAGACGCTGGGGTTACAGCAGTGAATGAAACAGACAAACTCCCTGCCCTGTGGGGCTGACCTTCAAGTGGGAAGAAAACGGTCAATGAACAGACCAGTAAAACACAGTCTTCCAGATTATGCTACAGAGAACAATTAAACAGCGATGGAGGGTGAAAAAATGGCCAAGGAGGGGCTGTCATTTAGAGAGGGAAATCTTTCCTGAGAAGCGGCCTTTGGAAATAGATCTAAAGGAGGCAAGGAAGTGAGCCATGGGGTGTCTGGGGGAGGATAGTCCTGGTAATGAAGGACCCCACATGTGGGCCCAGGTGCCAGGGCAGGGGCCCCACATTCCCACACTCATGGCCTAAGGCAATGAACACTTCTCTACAGTCAAACAACTGCATAGAAACTGCAGTTCTGCCTGCTTGTGTGACGTTGGGGCCACATGAATTCACTCTCTGAGCTTCAGTTTGGTGGGATAGGGGCCTGATAACATCATCTCATCACGCTGTGTTGACATGAATGATCGACGATGCCATGAAAGCTAATTGGAATGCATGTAACAAGTTGTGTCACTGTGCACTGCTCAAACCACCTGGTTAAGGCCAGGAAGCAGGTTAGAATCCCTATGCCAGCGTTCACAATTCAGAGGAAGGGCACACCCAGAGGGGAGTTGCCTTTATGTGGCTTGTCCCCCATAAGGCGCAACTTTAGTTTCTTTCCTTATAAAGGCCTTGAGGTAGGAGGACTCCTGGCTGGAGCAGTGGCCAGGTCCTGCCAGAGGCTAGTAACTGGGAAACGAAACGTCCTGTCTGTTTGAATGGAGCATCATAAGACTGTAATCTATGAGCCATCGATAAGTGCTGAGTCCTTTCATCGCTGTGACCCTCACCCCAAAAGAAACAAAGTGAGGTCATTCTGCCATCTCCCAACGTCCTCTCCGGCCTTGGCGAGGAAGGGCTGGACGAACTTCCCAAGCCCGACTTCTCTAATTAAGGCCCATGGAAACACAACAGCCTCTCACCCAAGGTATCAGGTTCAAACAGCTGTTGCTTTATCACCTTAGCAGAGCTGAGGTGGAGAAACTTCCCTTGCCCCAAATCCCTACCCCAACCTAGGGCACTTCCCTCCCCAAGGGCACATTTTTCCCCGGAAATAGCTTACTTTCCACCCTACCCACTTACTGGCCCCACAGGGCACCTCCTTCCTCCAAACCCTTCTCTTCCAAAGGATTCGAAACTCGTCTGCCAATGACCGAATCCCTGAACATTGTTTCTCCCAAGAGGGGTTGGTTTCGCCTGTTCACCCATTCATTATCTGCTCCCAGCCCCGCGCACGCGCTGAGCAACTTTCCGAGTGGCAAGCTCCACGTGAGCTGTCCGTTGCCCTTTCCCCTTTCCCTTCCTTTCCCTTCTCTTTCCTCCTCCTCCTCCTCCTCACCTTCTTCTCTCTCTCTTTCTTTCTTTCTTTCTTTCTTTCTTTCTTTCTTTCTTGAGACAGAGTCTCACTCTGTCGCCCTGGAGTGCAATGGCACAACCTCAGTTCATTGCAACCTCCGCCTCCTGGGTTCAAGTCATTCTTCTGCCTCAGTCTCCCAAGTAGCTGGAATTATAGGCTCCTGACACCACGCCCAGCTAATTTTTGTATTTTTAGTAGAGACGGGGTTTCACCATGTTGCCCAGTCTGGTCTTGAACTCCTGCCCTCAGGTAATCCACCTGTTTCACAGGAGAGGAGACTTAAGAAAGTGACAGCTGGCCAGTGGATCTGAAGCCATGCACCCGCTCCTCTGTGGGGCACACCCCGTCTCGATTGCTAAGCACCCGGTCTCCACCTCAAATACCCCAGGGCCAGGCATGAGAAGTGTGGCAGGCCTGGTGGGGTGAGTGGGAAGCTAGAGGACACTCCTCATCCAGGGGCACCTGACGTTCCAGCTGGTGGCAGCTGATATTTTAAGGAAAAGCCTCGAATTTGGATGTTTTAAATGAGAAATCCCACTGCACCCCCATCCTCCTATCAGCAGGCATTTTCCCGGGAATGGGTGTCTGCTGGACTGTGGCTCCCTGGAGGCATCCGGGGTCCCTGACCCCACCCCATTGTTATAGGAAGTGGCATTTTCTCCAGAAGGGCGTCTCCCACAACGCAGGTCCCCAAGGGCAGCGGGACACACAGCAGGTGCACAGCAGCGTCACACCGGCTCAAGGAGCGCCCATCCCAGTTCACAGGTGCGCAGTGGAGGCGGCAGGGACCCACCCAGGTGGCCCAGCTTAAAGCCCAGTTCCTTTTTCCTCTCCCCAGAGTCAGGCTCTCTCCCACCCGGGACAGCTCTGTTTACCTGTTCTCCCTCAGGCCCCTCCCTCGGGCCCAGGACCTACCTGGCGGGGGCGGCACGGCCTCCAGGCAGGCGTAGGCACATCCGTTGTAGCAGCAGCGCCGGTGCCGCGGGCACTCCGAGTCAGCCTGGCAGCGCACGGCCTGGCAGGCGCCGGGGGGCATCGTCCGCGGGGGCGGCGGGCAGCGGTCGGCTCGGGGCTGCCGGGAACCACCGGGCGCGCCCACCTCCTCGGCCTGCGGGGAGAGGGCGGTGTCAGCAACTCTGGGAGAGTCCCGGCCCGCCGGGAGCAGCCACGGGAAGGGCCAGTGCGCCGGGGTGAGAAACAGCAAGCAGGCAGAGCCAGACTCCCAGGGCGGCTCAGAGGGTCAGCGATACCGTGTTTCTCTTTATAACAGCCGGCAAGAAATAACTGGAAGCCCAGAGCAAAAGGATAAGCGAATCTTGGTATGTTTGCTGGAGGACAATTACTTAAGTATCTGCCCTGTGTGATAGATTATATATAATACATAATATATATGGTATATATGTATACACATATGTATACATATGCATGCATGTATGCACATGCATGCAGACACATGTCTCTATATACATATGTATATGTACATATGTGTGGATTTCTTATAATCCATATGTTTATATAGGGCTTTGAGAATTTACAAATTATACACAGAATGATTAAATCCATGCAACGACTTCGATATATCTCAGAAAATAATGAAAAGAAAAAAGCCAGATCAAAAGAGAACACCACAGTGGGATTCCACTTATATTTATAGCTCAAAAACAGGCCAAGATGATGTCTGGCATAAGAAGTCAGGAGGAATCTGGTGGACAGTGACTGGCTGGGAACACGTGGTCTAGGGCCTGGCTCTGTTCTATTTCTTGGCCTGGGGGCTGGTTACATGGTGTGTTTATTTTATGGGAATTCGTGGAGCTGAACACTTAGGATTTATGTGCTTTGAAGTATTATTTTTGTTTGTTTGTTTTGTTTTTGAGATGGAGTTTCACTCTTGTTGCCCAGGCTGGAGTGTAATGGCGTGATCTCGGTTCACCACAACCTCCACCTCCCAGGTTCAAGCGATTCTGCTGCCTCAGCCTCCTGAGTAGCTGGGATTACAGGCATGTGCCACCACACCCGGCTAATTTTGTATTTTTAGTAGAGACAGGGTTTCTGTATGTTGGTCAGGCTGGTCTTGACCTCCTGACCTCAGGTAATCCACCCACCTTGGCTTCCCAAAGTGCTGGGATTACAGGTTTGAGCCACCATGCCCGGCCTGAAGTATTATGTTGTAACAAAAAGTTCAAAAATAAGATATAGGGGCCAGGCACTGTGGCACACATGCCTATAATCCCAGCACTTTCGGAGGTCGAGGTGGGTGAATCTCTTGAGCTCAGAAGTTTGAGACCAGCCTGGCCAACATAGCGAAACCCTTTCTCTACTTAAAAAAAACAAACAATAATTAGTTGTGACATGCTCATTCACTCCTGTAGTCCCAGGTACTTGGGAGGCTGAGGCGGGAGGATGGCTTGATCCTAGGAGGTCAAGGCTGCAGTGAGCTGTGATCGAACCACTGCACTCCAGCCTGGGCAATAGAATGAGACCCTGTCTCAAAAAAAAAAAAAAAATTAAAAAAAAAAGAAAAAGAAAAAAAGATATAGTACTGTACTTAATATATAGGAATATGGGTGAGTGACCAATAAGATCAATATTTTAAAGGTAAGACTGAGAAAATTTAAGTAACCAGGCAAACTGCCCTGGGTCCCCTGACACCGGAACCCATCCACGCCAGTAACACTGTTCTGCTTCTGCGAAAATGGGGTGTGTGGTGGGCAGGTTGTGCACATTTGCACACACACACAGAGTTAGATACAGGATAGATTACTTGGAAAAAAACTACCTTGGCTTGCCCTGCCTCCTGGCCTCTGCCTAAACTGTTCCCTTCATCTAAAATGCTTCACCTACTTAACTCCCCACAAGTCCTCCCCCAACATATTCAAAATCTGGCCTGCTTGTGCTGGCCAAGTACATAGGGCATATCTACAAATTAGAATAGTATACAGCCATGAAAACCTGTCCTTAAGGTGTTGGCAAAAAAAGAAATAAGACTCAATGTGCCACATATGAAAGATTGCCAGGATGTGGTGGCTGGTGAAGAAAGCCACGGTTCGGAACAGCGTGTAGGTTCTGCCCCATCTGTGTTTTTAAAAATGCACACAGATGTAATATGTATATATTTGCATAGGCTTAGAACGTTTTTGGAAGGATACACAAGATCACACAAGAAACCATTATGAAAGCTGCCTCTGGAGAGAAGAATAGGGTGTAATGCTGAGAGAGATTTCTTCCTATTGTACACTCTTCTGCACTGGTTCAATATCTTTTTACCATGTACACATTACTTTTTGAATTTAAAGATGTACAGAGTGAGGGCACATCGTCCAAGCCCCTGCTCAATCTAGACTTGACTCACAGAACCTCACAAAGCTACTGAAGCTGCTTTGATGGCAGTGTGGGCACCATCACCTCCAGGCCTTTGCCCAGGCTGTGTCCTCTGCCGAATACCCATTCCTTCAGGTCTTCAGAGGGACCATTCCCCCAGACTCAAATCAGTGCTCATAGCTGGGATGTGCTTCCTTAACACCAGCCCTCCCAGGCCAGGGGTAGAGCCACGCCCCTTCCCTCCCCCTCCCCCCCACTTCTGTGTCCCACACCCGCCCTCCCTTGTCACTCTTGCTCCGTAACCGGTGAGCGACCCCCTCAAGGGAGGTCCTCGAGTCTCCTGTGTCTCCTCATGCACATACAGTTGGCTGAATAAAGGTCCCCAGAGACACCAGGCCCGACTCCCTGGAATCCTACATGCAAAGGAAAAAGGGTCTTTGCAGACGTGATTAGGTTAAGGAGCTTGACGCAGGGAGATAATCCTGCATTTTCCGGGTGGGTCCTAAATCCCATCACAAGTGTCTGAGAAGAGGGGAGCAGAGGGAGATTACACACGCATGCGCACACACACATGCACACACGCACATGCACATGCACATGCATGCACACATGCACACACATGCACACAAGAAAGTCATATGAAGAGGGAGGCAGAGATGGCATCTACAGACCAAGGAATGACCATGATCGCCAGCAACCACTGGAAGAGAGATTGGCAAGGAAGGAACCTCCGGAGTGGGGGGGCACGGCTCTGCTGACCCCTTGATCTCAGTCCAGTGAAACTGATGCTGAACTTCTGGCCCCTGGAACCATGAGACAATTCATTTCTGTTGGTTTAACCGCCCCTCCCACCCCAGTTTGTGGTCATTTGTAACGGCGGCCCCTGGAAACTTGGTATCTGTCCCGCTGCCTGGCACATTCTGTAAATGAATGCCACCCCAGGCCCAAGTCCCCATCAGTGCCTCCACAGTGGCCTCATCCCTGGCTCACTGCCTCCAAATCCATCCATTCTCCAAACTGCAGCCCAAAAAGGCTTTAGGAAAGGCACCTGTGGATTCGGTCACCTCTGTGCTGCAAGGCTTCCCAGCACTCTCGGGGCAAAGTCCCAGCTCCCCACTCAACCTCCAAGCCCTGTGCCAACCAGGTACATGTTACTTTTTCAATTTAATAACTTAGATATAGGATATATTGGCCTCATCTCATCGCCCCAACCCTCCTGGCCTTATATGCCAGCAAACTGCCCTTCCTCCTCCCCACGCCCTCCAAGCACATTCCTCTCTTCAAACTGTTTCCTCCAACTGAGCTTGTCTCATCCAGCAGAGCAGAGGGGCAACCAGAGTGGGCTCTGCAGCCAACGGGTTTGGTTCAAATCCTGGTTCTAGGGCTTAAATCCTTTCTGCCACTCACTTGCTGTGTGACTGTGGACAAGCCTCAGTTTCCCCCTATAGAACTTCCCTCCTGGGGTACCCTGAGTCTACACTCAGGATGGCCTCTATGCCCAGGATGGCATCTACAGCAAGGATGGTGTCTATACCCAGGCTGGCGTCTAGCACAGTGCCACTGATCTTCATTGCCACATGCTGGTCCTCTGCCTGGAAGGCTTCCCATCTGCTTCTATTGGCCAAACCACCCTTCCGTCCTCAGCTTAAACGGCCTTCTGAGGGCAGCTTTCCCCAGACTTGTCGGGATGTTTCTAGTATGGTCCTTCTTCATTTTTAGGGCCTCGCCACCCCACACTGAGAGCAGAGGCTGCGTCTCTCCCTGCCTGGCTGGGGCGGAGCGCAGTCCTGCGTCCCTATCTGGGTAGCTACAAACAGCACGCGGTGCCACCAATGCCCTGCAGGGGGCACCAGGTCCCCGGGAACAGGTCCTGGCCGGGTGCCCCTGAGAACCGGTGGGATCACCAAGGCCAGAGGTTTTCAGCTGCCCCCAGGGAGCCTCAGGGCCTGAGACTGAGGGCATGAGGGGTGGAGAGCAGGAATGGCCAAGCAGGAGGGGGGCCTGTGTGGCAGGAAAGCCTGGGGAGGGGGGCCCGTGACCCCCATCCCTGCTTCACTCAGAGAACCCTTCTTTTCACTCTTGTAGACATTGGCTGTTAAATTCACAAAAAGTGAAAATGACCACTAAGCTGGCATTTGGTGGATATGGAGACGAGGCCTTAAGGAGGTGAGTGGTTTTCCCCAAACACAGAAGGGAGGCCAGAGCGTGGATCAGTCCTTTTATCACCCCCTTCTCCATCCAATCTCCCTCACCCCTGTAACCATCACTAATAACTTTGCAGCCACAGCAGGTGTATAATCCCATGCCATTAGCTCTTAGTTCACTCGCTGCAGAATTAACTAAATTGGACCCATGATGGGGTCCGCTATTTTTAATCCTCATCTAACATGACAGCCGCCCCAGCCTCCTTCGGAGGGTGGTTAAGAATGCACCGTACGTTGTCGGGAGGGAGCGGCTTATTTTTCTGCCCAGCTTATTTTTCCATCAAGCCTCATTTATGAAATTTAATGGAACCGGGTGATCAGAAGCAAAACACTTTTCAGCCACCTCAAGTGCCTCCCAGTCCCGTGACTTCCTTAATGGCAGCCCCAGACGGGAGGGTTCGCAGTGATCAATTTTAGATGTGCCGCTGTCTCAGAGGAAAATTCAAATGTCGTTTCTCAGAATTTGGAGAGAACAAAGACATAAGCGCCTTAGAAACCCCATCTCCCGAGTTATTTACTGCGTGGCTGAAACAACAGATGGTCGTGAGTGATAAAGCACTGATTTCACTGAGAGGTCCAGATTAAA